ACCATTAGAACTGTCTAATATATTTTGTAAAAGTTACATCTGATACAGGGATAATTCCCTGATTTAGTCTACCCAATGTTATAAGCTGTTATTAGTAAATATGTATAGTAGTTTTAAAAGTGAAATTAAATGAAACAATTACATCACTTGAACATATAAGCCACTATTTCTAGGCATATGAAATAATCATGAATCACCAACTGATCATAAACTTTTTAATCTGTCTGTGTGATTATATTTTCTTGTTAAAATCTCTTAGAAAATGCAAAAAGAGGCTGGATTACAGAAACCTTAAACTATGTTTAATAATTTTCATATAATTATATGATGATTTTAATTGTGTATGCCCGAAGGAATTTTTAATATCCACAAAATTTTAAGGAAATAACAGATTATCTTAATAATGATGCAAGTAATGCATAATGTTATGTATTTCAAGTAAAGTCTCACATATATTTAAAATAAGGAAAGGGAATATAAATGTTATAGAAATTGTATGCATACTATAATGTTGTAACATTTCCCTGTGTTTTTTAATATACATGGATTGAAGAGTAGCTTTACTCCTGAATTTAGAATAAAAACTAGGAATTATGCCATTCCTTAAAAAGTGTCCACTTGGGTAGTAAAATATATTTTTAAAAGAATATTAGTAATATTCTTTAGAAAAGAAGATCTTCACTCTGAAGTTAATTGTCAAGTAATAGATAATAAATAATTTAAATGAGGGGAATTCAGTACTCTTTCAGAAAACATCCTTAATGAAATTGTTTCTTATATGTATTTGTATATCACTTACATTAATAGTTTAGTATTTAAGTTATGTTTAAGTAAAATGATAAATAATTTGTTCTCCATGGAAAGCTAATTGAACCTATTTAAACCTGATGCATTGTTTCTTAATCGTAAATTCTAACTTTGCAATTGCATGTCTAATGATCTTTGTATATGAACAAGCTTAGTTAGTTGCCACATGTGTCAGACAAGGAGACATTTCTGCATTATCATTTCAGTGTGACTAAGATTTTTTTCTTTTCATTTAATTATGAAACTTCTCATTTACTGATGAGGGGAAAAAGATCAGACCCAGCCCATATTTCAGGTATTCCTTTGGGTTTTTACAAATATAATTGCATCACCGAAGACTGACAAGCCCTGTGGAGGCTGTGTTCCAAACAGTCTCATCGCAGGGCGTGAAGGGCAGATGCAATACGTAAGGGACTGGTTGGATTTTAAGTCATGCTCTTATGCTCTTCATTGTTCCAACTGATACATAGAAGAAATACACAGTGCAGCAGATGCCAGTGTTTAAACTACAGTTCTGTAACTCTTGGCCCCAAAGCATTCCAACCAGGGGTTGAAAGAATGCTTTTTGATTTGCTTCTGTGATACAGACATGTCTCATAGGAAACAAGATGTCTGTCACTGAACATTTTTGTCATGTGACAACCCCGCCTTCCCATGCTCCCTTGTTTATTGCTGACTGTGCTCTTGTTTCCCTTCAAGGTCTGGCGCACCTGATGATGGGCGACCAAGGTATGGGCTCTGTTCCTTTTCCACTCTGCTTCCAGTGTGTCCTTGTTTCGTAGCTGCTTTCACGCCATCACTGCCAAGGATGGGCACATGCTTGCAAATTAGCTGGCTGCAAATTAAATACATACTTTTGTTCACATTTTTTTTTCCCGTGTGTTATTCTTTTTATATGTCGGTTTGATTTGTGGTTTGCTCCTTTGACTTTTTTGTTTTTGTTTTTGTTCATTCTTTGCACTGTAATATCTGAAAATAAATGAGACATAAGGACTTGTGATTGAAAGATTCCATACATTTATCAGCATATGCAATTTTAAGGGTAGTTATAGTAAAGAAAAACCAAGAACCGTCACAAATTAATATTTGAAAGGGGATATTCCGTTTAACCTCGTGTACCAAAAAGAGTCCATTTTTCACCCAGTGCATGGCAGTTTGGGAACATGCAGACATCTTTGGCTTCTGGCTTCTAGAATGCTGAGTCTAGTGCTCCACAGAATCAATACTTCTTTTACCTGCAGTCGTTATGTATCTCCTCTTTGTGTCATATTTTAAAGTGAGCATGGGCTTTCCAATTTCCTTGCATGTACTGCCTTTTTAAAAAAGGCAGGATTGTCAACGTATACTGATTGTATTTCCATTTGTTTGTAAACCCTTACTTATGCTTTCTTGATTAATTTTCAAAGAGTAGTGCATTTGCATATTTTCATAATTCTTATTGTTGTTTCTCTCCTCTTTATTCTCTTTGTATGGAAACCCTTTCTTCATGGAACCATTTCATCAAATCAATAGGTAAAAGTAAAGGTATTACACTCTTTTATTTCTACTTAATATCACCTGTATGAATTACAGCGTGTCTAAGTTATGCAAATGTATTTGCACATTGTGGTATTAGTAATGGGCACTGGGAGGTAGGTATGAGTGTTAATGAATATTTTATGAACTTAAGGTAAGAGAAAATCCATCAAAATGTTTCACTCTTTGTTTCTCTTGCTCTTTAGTGTGATTTTTTTTTTGTCAGCTGCTTATATAATTAGTGTATTTAAAAATTAGCTACAGGTTTCGGCGTCAGTTTTTGCAGTGTCATTCAATGGCAATTAAACGCTGTGTGTAGTCACCATAAATATGCCATCCTCAAACTTTTAACTCTGGAGCCCACCTACCCCTGCCATTCTGCCTTGGGATGTAAGTCTAAGCATGCGCAGCATTGAAATGGCCCCGCTCATCACCATGCTGTCTGCTAGAGGTCATATGTGCACATTAACTTCCTGATATCCCGGGAAAAGCAGTGCTCTGAAAGAGAGAAACAGAGGAGCAAGATAAGCCCGTTCTTTTTCTGTGCATCCTAACTCTGTGTGAGGACGTTGTCCACCAGGCTCCCATCCCTGCACCACTGGGTAAGTCAGGCATGTGTGCCCTTTGACAGCATTGGTGCCACATTGAAAAGCATGTATGACACCATTTAGAACCATCCCCATTGTGTTTAGTGTTTTCATTGAAAGGAGGTCCATGGTAGGCAGCTGTGACAGATATGTACCATCACCTTTAAACTAAACATTTTAAACAATGTATCAGTGAATGCACCTTGGTCTCCAGTTTTTTTGTTGTTTTTTTTTTTGGGGGGGGGGTTACATTTTGTTTTGTTTTGTTTGCATTTGTGTGTTTTTCCCTGGTTATTTTAAACACAAGAATGTATCTTGTCCTTGAATTCTCTGTATCTTCCTTATGCTCTGAATCCGAATCCGGTGAATTGGGACCAAAGCCCCCAGTTCTGCAGCGTCACGTTTGTGTCATCTGGCAGGGACACTTTTCTGCCTAAACAAGCACCTGAACATGAGCTGAGCAATAAGGAGGAAATGGTATCGATGTTTTAAGTGTGTCAAGTAGAGCTTTAGAAACAAATGTTGTTTGGATACTTTGAGTTTATAAAAAACAACATATGCTTATTGCAGTTTGTGTTTGGGTCAACCGGTTTTTTTAATAATATAATTTGATCTCGTTTTAACCTTCCAGCAACATGCGAATGACAGTATGTACTGATTCTTTTCGTATGCCATTGGTATTTTGTGTACCATTTGGGGTGCTTTTAAAACTTGTTTTTGAGGACAAATTGCCACTCATTTTTCTTTCTTACGTGGGCATTTCCCACCTATTCCTTAGTGTAAGATTCACAATGGCATAGAGTGAACTGTATTTATATTTTATTTTACTGGCTGGGTGAAGTATATCTATGTGTGTTTGTGTGTATGTCCCTGTGTATATTGGTATGAGTACATATATGTAGACAAAACTTTCTAAATATGCACACATGTATTCATTATGATGTGAAAAAGTAAGCTTTAAAATAATTCTCTAATTATATAATCTATTAACACTACCTAAGGAATCATTCATGTTTATATTGAGCTGGCGTTTGTTTTGGAGTAATTAATGTCAAGTGTCACTTCATTCCGTGTTCCTATGCCAGACCTAAGTGTTTTCTGTTATGTGTGTCAAGCATATTTTCTGCTAAAGTTTTCATCACGTTGTATTCATCAATCTGCACAAAACTACAGAGGCCAGGACTTTGTTTTTTCCTTTACATGCTTCGGTGAATGGGACCAGGATGCTTTTCGATATTAAATGGGAGAAAGAAGATGGAATTGAGTATTTTGCAAATAACACGCAACCTTTGCATGTTGTTTAATTCGGTGTCTAGAAATGAGAAATGTGATTTGTAAGTTTTCCTTAATTGCAAGTTAATTCAACAAATCTGTATTCTAGATCAAAAATCCAGTCTTGACGATGCCATGCATCCACACCCAAGGAGTGTCATTTTTAATAGGGAAATGAAAACGTGAGCAAGGGAGTCACATGACAGAATGGAAGTGCTGTGCGGGTGGGAAGAGGCAGTTAGAAACATAACATGAATCGGGGTTGCTCATAGGTTGATGTCCTTGCCTGTTGGAGAAGTCGCAAATTGTCTAGTAACTTTACATTTTAACTTCCTCTATAGGTTAGATCCTAGTTGTACATAAAATGCCCAGTCTAAAATAATAGATATGGATTGTAAATTCATGCCTCCAAATATTTCTGTCACAATATAATCTTGGGGAATTTTTCTTGACACTACTTGTCTCTTTAGGAGAAGTGATTTCAGGGTCTCTGGATTAATGTCTTTTTATTGTTTTCGTTAATCCAGAAGCAAAATTGGATTCAGGAGTATGATTCTCTCTGGATTAATGTCTTTTTATTGTTCTCGTTAATCCAGAAGCAAAATTGGATTCAGGAGTATTATTATTATTATTATTATTTATTTTTTCTGTATGGATTCTTAAATATTTTCTAAAAAGTTAAATGCCCAGTGATAAATGAATACATTTCATTAAAAAAAGAACAAAAGGAAATAAAGTAACTCATCTAAAGAGAACATTTCCTTGTGATAACCTTCATCTTCCTCCCCAGTCCTCTCTGTAGAGGTAAGCACTGGGATCATTGTGCTGTATCCTTACAGAGTTGGTGTGGATCCTTCCATACTCCCTAATTAATTTTTTAGGGTTTGGAAACTGACCATTTATACATCATAAAAACAGCTAAGTCAACTAGAGACACTGTTATGTGCTCACAGAATCAAAATGAATGAAGTGGAAGCTTTCTCCTTTTTCCCATAGGACATTGTGTTTCATATTTATATTTATTTTTTGTTAATCCTCACCCAAGGGTATTTTTCCATTAATTTTTGGAAGAGTGGAAGAGAAAGGGAAAGACAGAGAGAAACATTGATGTGAAAGAAACACATGGATTGGTTGCCTCCTGGATGAGCCCTAACTAGGGCCAGGGCCCAGGGAGGAGCCTGCAACCAAGGTAGGCAACCTTGACCCATGACCCTTTGGTCAGCAGGCCGAGGCTCTATCCACTGAGCCAAACTGGTAAAGCCCTGCCTCATATTTTTAATTGGTCATTCTGTTTCAAACTCTGGATTCAGTTATTTGGAATAGGTTTCATGTTTTATAAGCAAGAATATGTCACCTTTAACTAGATACAGTTAGGAATAAACACTCTGTCAGTGATTTATAGCTTTTTTAGGTATAGCTGAAGAGATATTCTCTAGAAGAACCCTGCTTGTGACTAGATGGATCCAAATCATTGTGAAATTGTGGTTGCTTTCTTTTTAGATCTGTAATTTGTCATTGGTATTGTTGGGGCCATTGATAATGCTAATAACTTCATTCTCCATTTTATTTTACATATAGGTTTATCTCCTTACCTGGGAATTTACTTTTTTGTTTTGTTTTTCCATGTGTGTTTAACTGGTCATTTCATTCCAACAATAATTAAATTATATTTTACTATTTAGTTATATTTCAATGGTTGTATGAAAGTAATGAGTGAATATTTATATGAGAACATGTTTAAGTAACTTGCACTGCAGATCCAGCCAGCATGGGCTAGTTAATAGCTCAAGAGCTCAGGTCAATAGTTGCCAGATAAGTGTTGATGTTTTGATTGGAGGCCGGATTTTTTCTTCATACCCATCATCATAATTGTAATTACATATTTATATGAGATTATAAATCTAACGTCAGCTGTTCCTAATAGAATGTAAGCTCCATGAGGGCAGGAAGGTTGTCTTTCTTTTTGGCCATGTGCTTCCAGAGCATTTTTCTAACTATCTTGGCTATGTCATTTTCATGACTTAAGTATGTGAATGGGCAGGGAGCATGTTGGAAGAGGAATATGTGAAGAAGGACATGGAGGGTTTGGTGTGGGCAGAGTTGGGGGTGGAAACGAGAAGGAAACTTACTCAAATAGGTAGAAAGGATAATAGCAACAGATTGCATGGAATCCTCTCAGCCTCCGTCTCTAAGGTTTCTTTTGCTTCCGATCATTCGTATCCTTTTGCAAAGTTGCAGTGTATCTTTCCAGTAAGGTACCAATCTGCGGTCAATTTAATATGCCTTAGCATATGCACAGCAATGGGTCTGTAAGGAAATGAAATCAATAAATTTTTGTGTTTTAGGTTTTCAAAAGTTGTCATGTTATTCACTGTCACAGTGGCAAATAGTCAAATTTTGTTTTCTAACTTGCACTATTCGTGCAAAAGCAGGCACAGAAATGTTACTGCAATTCAGATCTGATGTTCTCTTTTGTGGTTCTTTTTTTACTCACACTGTGTCAATTGTGATATACTATACCATAAAACCAGTGTTTAAATGGGGTTTGGATTGTAAACTTTCAAAAAAGCCAAAATTTGAGACTTATCTTATATGAGAATATTTACTTTTCATTGCATTCATAAATCATACAGCATATTTGCAAAATAAATGTTCATTTGACTCTTTCAAATGAACATTCATTGTTTGCTTATCCTGGTTTCTCATAGAAGGCCAAGGTATTACATGTGTCAAGCATATGATCACACATTTTATAAGTGCCAAAATTGTAATGTACTAGTGAAAATTAAGTTCTTCAAATAATTTATGAAGAAAATAAAATTAGATTTTTCTCAAAACTAATTGTATTAATACCTAGATATAATTGATCACTACAACTAATTGATAAGCAACATTAAAATTATGTTTTAAAACTTTATCTGTAATTTCACGCCATGGTGAATATTCTATAATATTTTCTCTTAGATAGATTTGAGATTTTTAATATTTATAGAAGAATAAAGCACTTAGTATGTTTTATACATTCTGTTTCCAAGATTTTTGTTACCATCTTTCAACTATAGTGTTGGTATATAGCTAAGTTGTCTGTGAAGTACCCAGCTCCTAGTCACCAATATCATGATGCTTATTTGTTTTACAACTCTTACATAC